TTAAACCGAACATGCAACCCCTATAAATATGACCCAAAAGTACTCACTAGTATAGTGCAAAACAAACCTTGAGATTCAACTTTACCCCAGGTGTCACACAAATCATAAAAATATGGAGATGGCTACATCTAACAAAACTATATTTGGGTCATCCTCTTGGTCATTGCAACTTGTGAGTTTTCTGACTATTCAAATTCTCTTATAAAATTAATATGTGTAATTAGCTAATAATAAAAATATTTGTAGCAGATTATTTACATAACATTCACAAAGGATTTTTTTAAAAAAAAATTAAAGAAACTTCTGTTAATTTGCAGGTGTAGCCTTATTCTCAACAGGAGCAGAAGCGCAACAATGTTCTACTAGCAAGGACTGTGACAAAGCTTCATGTGATTCAAAGACAGCTATTTGTATTAACCACAAATGCATGTGTGTGGATCCAATTGGCTTTGATCATCATGATTAAAGTCAAAGCCAAAGTTAAAGTCAAACTGCTGTTCCTTCAAAAGAGTTCCATACATGCTCTGCATATGTTGATTGCATCATGTGTTTCAAGAACGATTATTTGCCAAGATGGAAAATGCATGTGCCTTGATTGATGCCTATGTTGCAACGCTACCACGAAATTAAATAAATTTCATCCACAAGTGACTACGTAATCTTTCTTTAAGAAATAATTAACAAAATATTTCAATAATACGCATGGTTTTGTTGATCAATCTCTTATAATAATAATGATTTTAAACACAAATGTTATGCTCCAATCAAGCAAGGCCTGTATTGTGTTGCTCCATTATTTTTGTCTGATCTTTGTGATTATTGGAACTCATCAACGTCTTAAACTAGATCAAAATTAAGGCAACACAGAGTCTTTTTCCTATATCTTAAGAAGACATGTAAATCAAACATGGGAATGAGATAAAGCTAATATAACCTGGTCATTTCCAATTCCAAAGAATCAACATCTCCCACAATTATTTTTCCTCTTCTTATTTTTAGTGTGGCTTTTCACATTTCCAAGTGATAAATATATTACAAGGGCCAAAAGTTTGTCAGTGAAAATAGGAAGTTGTCTATGGTGCCTCTTGAAGCTGGAATATTTCAACTCCCTTTTTTGGCTATGGAGGTAACCTACCTTTACGGAGATGGATCCTCTTTAATCTGCTCTTCGACCCTATATAAACACCCTGCATACTTATTGTTCTTCGCATTAGCATCTGAGATCTCTACTTCATACACAAGCAGCACACACACGCACAAATACACACAGATCAAAATGGATCGTTCAATGCGTCTTGTTTCCGCTGCCTTGGTTCTTGCCCTGCTTTTGGTGGCTACCGGTATATCTTTAGTTCTCTCTTCTTTACTTAGTTTGATGAGTACATTAATTAATTATATAGATGAATTATAATTAACTTACGGATGCATGCATGCATGGATGTTACTTTGACAGAGATGGGACCAATGGCTGTCGAGGGAAGGAGCGCTAAGAAGGTTGAGTCAAAGAAGAGGACCTGCGAGAGTCAGAGCAAAAAATTCAAGGGAATTTGCTTCTTGACGATCAACTGTGCCACGAGTTGTAAAACAGAGGGCTTCAATGGAGGCCAATGCCGTGGCTTCCGCCGTACATGCTTCTGCTCCAAGGCATGCTAATTGATTATAATGGATCTATCTGTGTGGGAGAGAGCT